TATATGTATATATATCTCATGTGCATGCCTGGTACCTGTGGAGGCTAGAGGAGGGTGACAGATTGCCTGGAACTGGGGTTATAGACAGTTGTGAGCCACCATGTGGGTGCTGGGAACTGAACCAGGTTTTCTACAATAGCAGCACATGCTCTTAACCACTAAGCCATCTCTCTAGCCACTATATTTACTATGGTAAAAGGTTTATTTAGACTTCTTCTTGCTATTTATTTCAACTTATTAAGTTTTGTGAGCTCTTTATATATTGCATATAGAAACCCATTAATGAGATATATGATTTGTAAATATTTTCTCCTGTAACTTTTTTTTCATATTTTCTTAACATTGTCTTTGGAAGAACAAATTATTCTTAATTTTGATGAGGCTCAACCTATGATTTTTCTTTTTGTTATGTCATATGTATGAAATCTTTGCCAAACTCACTGTCACAACAGTTTTTCTCTTTGATAAAATCACTTTTTAGAATGGTATTAGGCATTCAACAGAGTTGAACAGAAGGTACAGAGTTCCATATACCTCCTGTTTTTCTTTCCACTCACCTGTATAAAGACATCTTCCCTACTGTCAACATCCCTCTTCTAACCTATGTTGACATACCATCATTTGAATAACATAGTTTTTATTACTGTTTCACTCTTGTACATTATATAGGTCTTAACAAATGTGTAGGTATCCACCATTACAGTATTATACAGAATAGTTTTATTGCCTTCACCCTATCCTCTGTGCTTTGCTTATTTATCTCTTCCTCCCTCCCTCCAATCCCTGGCAACCACTGATCTTTTTATTGTCTCCGTAGTTTGGGTTCTTTTTCCCCCAGGACTGTAACATGGTTAGAATCATATAGTGTGTAGTCTTTAAGCTTCTCTTACTTAACTAACAGTATTCAGTCAACTTTCCTCTGTGTCTTTCCATGTCTTGATAGCTCAATTCTTTTTTCTAACAATGAATGATAGTCTGTTGTCTGATATATTAATAGTTTACCATTTGCCTTCTGAAGGACAAGTTGATTGCTTACAAGTTTTAGCAATTCTGAGTATATCTTCTATAAACATTTGTTAGCAGGTTTTTAAAAGAATATTTATTATTTTATGTATATGAGTATATTGCCTGCATGTATGTAAGTGCATGCACATCCTACAATGCCTGTGAAGGTCAGAAGAGGGTGTCAGATCCCCTGGAACTGGAGTTACAGACAGTTGTTAGCCACCATGTGGGTGTTGGGAATCAAACCCCAGTCCTCTGCAAGAGCCATCAGTGCTCTTAACCGCTGAGCCCCCCTGTGAGCAGGTTTTTGTAAGAAGCCATCTCAAAGATGGCTATACCAGTTTCACATTCCCAGCAACAATGAGAGTTTCCTGTTGGTTCATATCATCATCATCACTGGGGTTCTCAGTGTTTTGAATTTCTGCCATTTTAATAGGTTAATAATACTATCTCATTATTATTTTAACTCATAGTTGGCTAATTATAGCCTATGCTGAACATCTTTACATATTCTTACTTGTCGATCTGTGTATCTTTGTCAGGGAGGAGTACATTAGACTCTTTTGCCCAGTTTTTAATTGAGATGTTAATTATCTTAGTGTTGCATTTTAAGAATTATTTTTATATTTGGGGTACAAACCCTTTGTGACATGATAATTGCAAATACTTTTCCCAATCTATGTCTTCTCATACCCTTAACAGTGTCTTTTACAAAAGAGAAGTTTTAATATTAAAACCTAGTTTATAATTGGTTTCTTTCATGGATATGCTTATTACATTGTATTTAAAAAGTTATCACGATACCCAAAGTCACCTGAATTTTCTGTTTTATCTTCTAGCACTTTTTGAATAATGAGTGTTCTTTATTATTATTTTGGGGGCTAACATACAAAGTCCTGGGCTTCATACATACATGTCATTATTGGTTGTCCTCCCCCAGGCCTCCTCTCCCAATTTAGATGGTTCCCCCAGTTAGTACCCACCTTATCCTTTCTTATCATATGTGTTCCATTACTCTGTTGCCCACTTCCTTAAGATCTCTTACCCCCCTCTCATGATCCCCTTTCTAAAGTTTTGAGACTTTCCACATACATAAATCCACACATGTACAAATAATTTTAAATCTAAGTTCCACATGTAAGTTCTCTTAGTCTTGTAGTTTTGTATTTTTATATTTAAGTCTATAATTCATTGTCAGTTAATTTTTGTGAAAGGCATAGGTCTATACCTAGATACCTAGATTCTTTGTGTTGCATACAGATGTTTGGTTGTTCCAGTACTACTTGTTGAAAAGGCTACTCTCTGCTTCATTGAATTGCCTTTGATAGTTTGCCAAAGGTCAGTTGACAGTAGGCTTTTTGTTCTCTTCCTCTAGCCTGTAATATTTCTTCACCCTTTCTCTTCTTGTCTTTCACTTAGTCTTGGTCATTCTATCTTTAGAGTAACTCTTCAAGTTGGATGGCAATCTTCCAATATTGTTCTTTACCTTTAATTATTGAGTTGGCTATTTTGAGTATTTTGCCTATTTATATAAACTAGAGATGTAATCAGTTTGTTGATGGCCACAAAATGACTTAGTGGGATTTTTATTGGAATTGCATTGTATCTATAGTTCTCTTTGGAAACTAATATCTTGACAATGTTGTCTTCCTATCTGTGAACATAAAATATCTCTCTGTAGTTTTGTATGGATTTTGCAATTTTCCTCATGGAAATTTTGAGTATATTTTAAAAAACTATGCCTAAGTATTTCATTGTAGGGGGTTCTCTAATGTAAATGGATTGTGTTTTTAATTTCAAATTCAGCTTGCTCATTCCTCTTCTATAGGAAAGCAACTGAGTTTTGTGTGGTAACCTATAAACGTAGTCACTCCTTATTAGTTCCAGAAGTTGGGATGTTTTGTTTGTTTTTCCTTTGCTTGCTTGCTTATTCATTATAGTTGCTTAAACATTATACATAGATGGCCATCCTATTTGTGAACAAAGACAATTTTATTTCTTCTTTCCCAATCCATGTTCCTTTTGCTTCCTTTTCCTGTCTCACTACATTAGCTAGGACTTCTTTTATTTTAGATCTATTTTTATTTTTATTTATGTGTATGTCTGTGTGATTATGTGTATGTGAGTGCAGATACCCACAGAGGCCAGAAGAGGGCATCAGATCCCCTGGAGCTGGAGTCAAAGGTGCTTGTGAGCCATCTGACATAATGTTGAGAACTGAACTCAGATCCTCTGCAATAGCCATCTCATAGGTATGAGATAAGCTTTTGAAAATGAAAATTGATGTGACTTTTTTGTTTCCTCAGGTCTGACGGTAACTGCTGTAAAAGACTCTGGAGAATGGAATTTAGAGGCTGGGGCCTTAGTACTTGCAGATGCCGGTCTTTGCTGTATTGATGAGTTTAATAGCCTCAAGGAGCATGATAGGACCAGTATCCATGAAGCAATGGAACAACAAACTATAAGTGTTGCTAAAGCTGGGTAAGCATTTCTGTTCTTTAAAATCTGTAGAAATAGTGAAATTATTTAATGTAAAATTCGGGGTAAAAGGCTGGAGAGTTGGCTCAGTGATTAAGAGTACTGACTGCTCTTGCAGAGGATCCAGGTTTATTCCTAGCACCCACATGGCAGCTAACAACTGTCCATAACTCCAGTTTCAGGGGAATCTGACACCCTCTTCTGACCTCCACAGGTATTGCATGACACGGGTGCACTTACATACATTCAGGCAATCCACTCATACACATAAAATAAAAATAATAAAATGTTTTTAGAAAATGATTTTGGGGAAATGGGAACCTTCTTGGTATACTTAGGGATCATCAGTTATTACCCTTCAACTATGAGGTTTTTCTTACTAGACTATAGATGTATATAAGGAAATAAAAGTGAGTTATTGGGAAAAGAAAGGTTAAAAATGACATATAATAAGCCAGATGTGGTGGTGCACGCCTTTAATCCCAGTACTCGGGGGGCAGAGGCAAGAGGACCTCTGAGTTCAAGGCCAACCTGGTCTACATAGTGAGTTCGAGGTCAGCCCCACTACAGGGAGATACTGTCTCAAAAACAAGAGAGCTATAAATATAGATTGACTTAGCTTAGTAGAAGGAATTTATGAAGAGCTTTCAACACAGGATTCAACTCATTCTTCCAATAAATATTGTATATGTACTCTTGGCATATTAAGTATTAGGGATTTTGAAAAATTCAAGGAGTATATAGAGATAAATCTAGTAAAATCTTCTAAGTTTATACCTTAAAAATTATAAAACACTGATTAAAACAAAATAGAAGACCAGGGAACTATATCTAGTTCCAATGATTAGAAGATTATATTGTTAAGATGTAAGTCATTCCCAAAATCACTATAGACTCAGGATAGTTCCAGTCAAAATCCAACAGGGTTTTCTTTTTTCATAAATTGATAGGCTGATTTTAAATTTTATGTAGAAAAGTACAGAAATTAGACTTGCCAAAACAAGTTTTGATAAAAGACTAATATTAAAGACTTAGCAGTATTTTAAGATTTACTGTAACTAGTCAATAATTAGAACAGTATAACCTTGGCATCAGAATAGACACATATCAGTGGAAGAGAATCAGGTCCAGAAATGGCATCACAGATATAGTTAGCTAATTTTTCAGAACAATACCATGAGAAGTCATTAGACGGTGATTGGCACTTTATAAAATATGTACACTTGAACTTGTTATGCTCAAAACATACACTGGAATAAAAGACAGCCCCTTCGACAAATGGTGCTGGCGAAACTGGATGGCCACAGGTAGAGGAATGAAACTGGAACCATATCTCTCATACTGCACAAGAAATCAACTCCACTTGGATCAAAGACCTTAATGTATGACCTGAAACTTTGAACTAGCTAGAGGAAAATTTAGTGAGAACGCTTAAAAGTATAGACCAGGTCTTTCTTAAAAGGACTCCTATTAATAGCATGGGAAACAATCCCAACAACTGACAGATGTTGTTATATGAAATTAAATGCTCTGCACAGCAAAGGAAATAGTCACCAGAGTAAAGAGACAGCCTGCAGAATGGGAAGACATCGTTACTAACTATACATCAGACAGGGGATTAATATCTAGATTATACAAAAAATAAGCACTTAAACTCCCAATCATCCAATCAATAAATGAGTTAATGAACAAAATAGGCAGCCCTCAAATGAAGAAGTACAAATGGTCAATAAATATGTAAACTGTACTCACCATCCTTAGCCATCAGGGAGCGTAAAACTTCTTTGAGATTGTATTTAACCACAATCAGAATGGCTATCTTCAAGAAAACAAATGACTACAAATCCTGGTAAGAATGTGGGGAAAGGCTCATTCAGTGCTGACAAAAATGTATACTTGAACTTGTACTGGCCTGGAGCTCACTATGTAGACCAGACTGACTTTGAACTCACAAGAGATCCACCTGCCTCTGCCTCCAGAGTGCTGGGATTAAAGCCATTGCACCATCATGCCTGGCTGGGGATTTCTTTAAAATAGGTGCATATATCTTGTCAGGCGTGGTAGCATAAGACTTTAATCCCAACACAAGGGAGGCAGAGGCAGACTGAGCTATGTGAGTTGAAGGCTGTTGTGGTCTACATAGCAAATTCCAGGCCAACCATACCTAAATAGTGAGACCCTGCTTCACAGAACAAATAAACGAGCAAAAAAAAAAGTATATATCTGCAATATGACCCAGCTGTACCACTCTTAGGTATATACCTGAAGGACTCTAAGTCAGCATACAGCGGAGATACTTGCACATCCGTGTTTGTTGCAGTATTCACAATCTTTAGGAAATGGAGCTAGCCTAGAGCTCCGTCTACAGATGAGCGAAGAAAATGTTGTACATCTACACAATGGAATTTTGTTCAGCCATAATGAAAAATGAAATGGGACATTTACAGGAAAATGAATGGAACTGGAAATCATTATGTTAAGCAAAATAAGACAGACTCAGAAAGACAAATAACACATGTTTTCTCTCCTGTAAGAGATAAAGAAGAAAACTCATGTGAGGAGGGAGGGAGGAAAAAAGGGAATGGAATTCATATGTGACATAAAAGCAGAGGGAGGCCTTTTTAGAGGAAGGAAGTAGACCAGCAAGAGGGACAAGGTAGAGCAGTGGGGGAAGGAGATAATTAGAACAAAGTCTAATTGATACATATGTTTGAAAATGCCATAATGAAACCGATTACTTTGTATGCTAACTTAAAACTAATTTTTTAAAATTTACATAAATGAAACAGATATGCTAGAACACTTTGATATCCATATGCAAAGAAAGAAAAAGGCCTGTACAGACATGGTTTAAGCAGCTTTATTTACAATCACCCCCAAGCTGGAAACGGCTCCTGTCTGTTACCTGATAATGGATAAACTGTAATAGCTAGGTAGAATGAAATACTACTAGCAATATAAGGAAATAGACTATTGGTACATGCATCAACCTGGATGGATGCTGAAAGCATTATTACAAGTAAAAGATGCCTGGGGCTGGAGAGATGGCTCGCAGTTAAGAACACTGGTTGTTCTTGCAGAAGACCCGGGTTCAAATCCCAGCACATTGTTTTAAGAAAAAAATGAAAATATTGGGCTGGAGAGATGGCTCAGTGGTTAAGAACATTGGTTGTTCTTGCAGAAGACCCGGGTTCAAATCCCAGCACCCACATGGCAGCTAACTGTCCATAACTCCAGTTCCAGGGGATCCAATAGCCTCCTCTGTCCTCCGTGGGCATTGCATGTTGTGGGTGCACTTACCTACATGCAGGCAATATATGTATACACATAAAATAAAAATAACAAATACAAAAAATATTTTTAAAAAGTACAAGATGCCAGACACAAAAAGACACATAAAATAGTGATGAGATCAGTGTTGGCTGGAGGTAGGGAAGGGAAGTGACTACGGAAGGGCACCTTAAAGTGATGACTTTTTAGTGTTGTGTAAATTATGCCACCATAACCTTCTAAAAACACAGAAACTCCTATATTTACTTTTAGAATCAGACATGAATTTACTCTGTCAAATTCCTTCTGAGGTTTCTGAATATTTGCTGTTCTTGTACTCATCTCTTCCCTGACTAGTATCTGTGTGTGAACAGGCAACAGTTCGTAGCCTTGCTCTGAGCTTTGTTAGTGAACCTGCCTAGAAAACCAGTATATAAGAGAGATTAAAAGAAGTAACAGTGCTGGAGAAGACGATAGGTTCATCTGCAGTAAGGCCCTGTTTTAACTGAAGTAGCGTCTTCCAAAGGAAACAATTATTTTTATTTTATTTATTATTTTTATTTTATGTGTATGTGTGTATTGCCTGCATGTAGGTAAGTGCACCCGTGTCGTGCAATGCCCGCAGAGAACAGAAGAGTCTGTCAGATCCCCTGGAACTGGAGTTACAGACAGTTGTTAGCTGCCATGTGGATGCTGGGATTCAAACCCGGGTCTTTTGCAAGAACAGTGTCCTTAACCGCTGAGCCATCTCTCCAGCCCACAAAGGAAATAATTTTAAGAATAATTTTCAGATTGGATTTCTTTGTCTGTGGGGCTCTTAGCCTGGAGGCAGGAGATGTGACCTTTCTGTTCTCTTCATTGTCACTTTTTCATTGTTTCTGTTTTAAACCACCTGTCAAATATATATATATATAATTTTGCCTAAGAAGCTGTCTTAATAACTTGAATCACGAATTTTTCACTAGGAATTCCTTTTTAGACCTCTATGCTATGGTGGGCATTGTTGTTAATGGTTACTATTAAAACATTTGAATTATGGTTTCAAGATAAAATCTCCCAAATGTTTCTGCTTTGTCTTGGCTTCTACCCAGTATAAAGCCTTCTTTGAACAGAGACATGGACCACAACCAATATTTTAGTCTTCTAACTTTTTTACATTTATTTAAGAATTTTTACTTTGCAAAGCACTTTGCCATATTTATTTCATTTAAAGATTGCGGTAATTTACTGCATCCAAGGAATTACAGGATGTTGTTCTCTAGATCTCATAGTTAAACTGGGTCTTTATTCACTGGTTGCCGTGTGTGCATATTGTCGGCATTCTATTGTGACCCCCATATAACTATTTCTGGATTCATAGAGACATTTATACTCTTTTATTATCATGCATTTTAAAAGACTCAATTCCTAACATTGCCTAATATGTATTTATGTAAGTTTTGTATACTTTATTTTCCATTTTGAAAAGGTTTCTTTTTTCTTGATCAATTTAGTGAAGACTTATAATTACATTATGGTAACAGAGCTGGGGTTCCTGTGTTCTCTGAATTTAGTAAACTTATTTCCAGGCTATTTGCTGTGATGGCAGGACCGCTCATGTTGACTAGCATCAGGAGTCACTGCTTTTGACTCTGAACATTTATTATAGTGCATGCTGGCCTGGAAATTTCAACCAGGCTGAACATATCTCAGACTTCAAAATTTAAATTTTATTTTAAAACAGAACAATTGTA